CCGGTTTCACAAACGTCATCGCGAACCGACCGGAGGGGCTTCTTTGAGAGACGTTATAAATAATTCCAGGCGAGAGTGTCATCGTATAATCGTAGAATCGACGTTATCTGTATCATCGTTGACGGTTATGGCGTCATTCATTTCGTGCACGTAGATATCCTCTTCCGCCTCGAGAAATCTGCTTCACGATTTAAGGCGTCATCATCGTCGTTGTCGTAGAAGATAGAATGATTTATAACCGTGATGTTAGTCTAGGCTTAAGTTTATTACTGAAAAAAATGAGTGGAATAATTATATTTTAATATTTCTTAAGCTCTTCAGAATCATCTCCGATATTAAAAATCCTGGCAATTAAGTCAGCAATAATTTTGACATATTTCTTTCGAAAGATCTTGCATATTGAACAATGCCTCAACAGATTTCAAAATTATTGTTCATGATTTATTCGTTTTGCTTTCTGTCGCTGGACTTTAGTCAGCGATAAGTCGATCTTATATGAGATTATCCACTCTCCGAGAATAGTGCGCAAAAGTAAAGAATTAGACTGTAGTATGCGTATATACATTCGAGTATTAATATAATCCAGTTATTTATAGTCCACAGCTTTATATTTGCGACTTATAGTTCTATTTTCGCAATAGTATTACCTACTAATCTCGCGGTTTGAACGCGGCTGCGAATATCCCCTTTTATTCTCTCTATGATATATCATTTTTATATATCATTTGATGTCTTTCATTCGCATTTTTTTTCTTCCTGTGTTATTTTTCCTTATCGTGCAATATCAATAATTCGCAAAATCAGAAGTTCGTCGAAGTCTTGACGCCGCGTCTCATGAGAAATTGCGTTACCTCCGCGATTTTAACTCACTGAGTCATCGTCATCAGATCTTAACGTCGACTGATGCGCAATTATGTTTCCAACAACGACTTGGTTTCCAAAATTATCTACCAAAATGAGACGACTAGCGGTTCTCAGCTATTTCCAAATTGTCTGTGGCCAATAATCTGTGCCAACTACAATATATAGTCCCTGTAAATAAATCTTATGTGAACTCCGAATGAAAAGGCATTTTCCTTCATTTATAATGACAATTTATTATGAACGAATTTTTCTCGTGAACATAAATATTTTCCTAATGATTATGCAGTCTTTTTTTATCTTTACAATACGAAAAAACTTACACGAGATATGAGGTGACCGCAAAATCACTCTGTTTACATAGACACATCTCAGTTACACGTAATTTGTTCAACGAGAAAAACGATAACTGCTCGAGATTAGTAATGTTGCGAAAACAGTCAATAATAAGAATCATAAATACAACATGAATCACGAATAACTCCAAAAGGGAAACACGCCTGTACACGACAAAATAAATAAAACACATAAGAAAACGTTTGTGCTAAAAATAAATGTTTATTAATAATTCATGCACATTGTAGTTACGAAACAAATTGTCCAAACAGTGCGTCATTATATTGATTCTTCAAAACGTTATGCGAGTGTTAAAAACCGCATGATTTTACGCATATATTATGGCGTTTATTAATTCAAATATAAATATAAATTACTATTCATATTTGAACAACTAATAGTGAAATTAATATTATTATATTAGTTTAAAGAATAATTGAAGAAATCATTGACATAACATGTTGCGCACTATCCGGGCAATTAGTTTCGTAACTGTCGTATTATGCACGATTTTATACTTGTTAATAAGTGCTCAAGGCCCGCTTAGATTTTCATGAAATAGTCCGCAATTCTGAGAAAGTTCCCGGAAAACGCAAATCATATGGATATAATGCTTTTGTCGTATCGCGTCGCGCAAATGTATACGCGTATGCGATAAACTTATCGGTGCAGCTCTCATAGTTTGGCATTATCCTTACCTCGCGTTATCGAGGTAGGCTCCAGCGGGTCGCTTAATCCACTTCCGTTCGATTGCCATTATTGAAACGATCGTAGACGGTCTTGGGTTTGCATTCTTGTGCGCCAATTCGACATTCGACTGTAGGCGTTATCGGCGCGTCTCGAGGAATGGCGAGAATTCACATATAGCGCGGTTAACGAGAATCCAGAACACGCGCAACGCAGTGCCATGTGACAGTTGTCCCCTGGAGAGTTAATAAATGCAAATGTAAATCGATCGATTTGTCCACGACGTAGTAGTACTAGGTGGCGACGACGCGAGATATCGATCCGACGTCGTGTATACTTTTAATATGGCCTGCGACGAAACGCGAATCGATAGCGTGATATTTGCAAGTAATATCTCCGAGAGACCGATTGCATTTTTTCTGATGGAATTAACTACTCCTACGGATATACACAGGGTGCCTGATAATTGTTCTGATGGAGTTTGTGGACATGTAAAGCGAATTAAACTGAGACGGAAAGTCCTCTATCATTTTGCAATTTTCGCAATAGTTAACAAGATATTAATTGCTAAAAGTTGCCGAAAATTGGTCTTTTTTACTCAAATACTATCAACTTTACAGAAAAACTGCAAGAGATGAAAATTGTTAAGTTTCTTCTCATAGAGCTCTAAGAATTTTTTTAGAATTTTTTTAGAATTTTTTAATATCGTATATATATATATGTATCTATCTATCTAAAGTCAAGTTTAACGATTTTGTGGGAGCGGCGAAATATCTGTTCCGATTCTCAAATGAAACAGGGTCAGCCGTTGTATATACTGCTTGAATGCAATTTTCTCTGTAATATTGCGCAGTAGAACGATTTCGCTAGTGTCTAAAAATTTAGGTAGATGTATAAATTTTAAAATAATTTTGTCGGATTATGAGAATAATTATGTTGGAAATTCAAGCACATAATGAGCAATAAATTTTAACAGCAATTATCAAACGTAAATATTTTGATAGTTCAACAAAATTATTTTTAGCTTTGTATCTATATAGTTAAATTTTTAAATGCCTCAGCAAAACTGCAGTTCATTCTCTGTGTCGATTAAAAATAATTTGACTCGACACGATTTCTCACATGGACTTAATTATATATATTTTTATTACTTTTTGTTAATATTATCTTATTTTTTTTGTACAATGAAAATATAAAAGATTGTAAAATAGCCATAGTAGTAAAAAATTTGTTTCCGTAGAAAGCATTTTGCATCATCTTCTTGGTACATACGGTAAAGCATTTCTGTTGATGCCTTTATTTTGTAATTACAGCGAATGTCGATAGTAGGTTACGACGTTATTTATATTGTGCATCATTATCGAACAAGTTCCTTGTCGACGCCGTTTATTATCCTCTCGTTAAGGAGTTGCTTAGTAATTCCACGTGTCAGTTAGAAAATCCTTGACTTTCTCTATCTATCTGCTCAAATGACTACAGAATTGCTAATTTCGTAATAATATAATCCATGATTTTGTAACGACTCTCTCACGGATTTATTCAATTTGATATATAATTTTTGCTGTTATCGACTTTCCAATTTTTTTTATTTATTATACTACGAATTCAGAGAAAAAAAAACTGAAACTGCGACGAGGCATTAAAGCTCTATATATCAAAGTAGAGCACATAGGTCCTCTATTTTTTATTTATTAATCATACTCTATAATACTCAATAATACTAAGCGCTTATTGGACTGGATCACAAATGGCGATCGAAATAGCCAATAGGAACGCTGTCGGCATTTTGGCTTAGATCAAAGGAACTTTTGCTGCGCTACTTTGATACATAGAACTTAATGAGACATAAGATACGCTCGGAATTGTTAGCTGCGTTTACTTTATATCGCTTGAAATATAATTTTCTTTCTGGATGTGAACCGATCGCGATGTCACTAAACAAATTCGAGTCACCTATTCGCTTTTTGCTTCGCAAAATCGACAAAAATCGAAATGCTTCGTCAATATTGCAGACGCATATCATGTGTGTCGACCCGTTAATGTACTTTCTCGTAGAAAGCAAAAGCATTTCGTGCCAAGGTGAGATCGCGATGAAATTCGCTCTCGTGATGCCCTTCGCTCGTTGTCATTGTGTTGATCCTAGGCTCTTATAACTGTAATAAATTATTATATTACGTAAAATCTGTAATACACGAGTATTACACAGACAATCTCTATAAACAATCACGGAATTGTCCGACATTCGAAATTGAAAATTTATTAGACTGGATTAAATTTCAAAGGCAGCAGCATGGAAAAATTTCATTTCTTCACGCGTCGTTTAGGAGAATGGACGGAAATGACTCCGCGATATTGCAATAACTTTTATGTACTTCGAAGTCGTACTTTAATTGGGTATTTCGAAATACACAGTGAAAGTGTATACGCTGAATAATAATTTATTAACCTTAGCCTTTTTGTGTCGATTTTATTGAAATTTCTATGGCGCGATTTACTGTAGCGTAATTTTTTATATACTTACCTGTAATCGTCCGATCATATCATATCCGCCACGTGCGTTAATATTTTAAAATCCCTTATCGACATTATCGGATTCCGGGGATTTCCTGCGGATCATTTGTTTGTCGATATTTTTATTTATATACATACAAAGCAGTGGAAAATCTTAGAAATTATTTCCGAGAGAGAGAAAGACAGAGAAAAAGAACCTTACTGTTTACACTAAATTATTTATATTTAAACGAAATTTATTCGTCTCTATAGAAATTAATTTCATTACTCTTTCTGTCATACGTATAATATATTTGAACCAATTGAAATGGATTTTTTTTTCTTATGTATGAACCGAGTTTTCAACTAAAATCTAATAAATTCTGTTAAAATTTGACATAAAGCGCAGTGAAGTATTTATTATTTATTTATACGTAGTTCTGAAAAGAGTATAGTTTGGCCAAAAAATTTAGGTTACTAAGAATCTCTTTTTTAACTCATAAAGATATTGACATGTTAATCTTTTCAACTTGAAAAGGACTGTCTGCCGTTTTTTTTTTTAAAACATTAATACCGTTTCCAACTCTAACAGAGATTGTAAACATTTTTCTCATTTCATGTTTCAGTATCCACTTACCAGTATAACATGTCGGTTACTTCCGTACAATCAGCTACTGAGAGCCTTTCCCGTCACGGGTGAGTAAAATCATCGAACTAATCTTTTTTCGCGGACATCAGATTGTATCGCAGCGAACAACCGCGACTTATAATTGCAAATATCCGACGTGTCTCGCACGAACGGGTATTTTTTTTGCCACGGAATCCATCGACATTAGGCAGATTTTTCCATGAGAAACTATCACGGTATTAATATGAATTTCAGATCGCCTGATTGAAATATTCCGACCTTCGCGCCTAACTTTTTCACAATATAAAATATGATCTTTGATTTCTGAGGAGAAAAACGGAGCATACGCGGCGTTTCGTGCTAAATAGAATGTCAGAGTGGGGGCTCATTATTCGGTAAAATTTATGTTATACATGTACACGTATGGAAATATGCATGGAAAATGTCGCTTAATAAGAGGAAAATGATATCTCGTTTTCAGAATTGAAACTTAAAAGAGTTTCGATCATTATAATGATCAATTTCATCGCAACCAATTAACGTTATAGATATGAAGGGTGCAATTTTAAATGTGAGGCGCGAAAAGAGGGATGTTGAGGTTTGCGTTAACCAAGCCGGCGATTTTGTTTCCCATTTCCGTTGGAACGTGCGCCATAAACTCCACTTCCTACGCAACGCGTTGTGAACGCCGGAAACGTCAATCGTGGGGCGTTGAAGGTGATTCGACACCGCTATACGGTCGTCAAATTGAAATCGTTGTTCATCCGTTGAGAATTGAAAAAGTATTGCGATTAATTGGAATCGAATTGAACGAAAATAAACGAACATCGATGTCATTAATTCAATGATTTCGTAATCTCTCATGTTCTATCGAAAAATTTCAAACTTTTATGCATGCAGAATCATAACAAATTACCGGCCAATTAAATCAAATTGCATAGTCGTTTTAACCGTAAATTGAAATCCCCCCGGGGATAATTACTATATTCTACAATTATCCCTACGTCTTCCATAATTATCGCCACGTCACGACGGACAAATTGCAGAAAAAAATCTCAATAATTTTCGCCGCCGTCCTAGAACACACTGACAGTTACGATACTTTTATTAAAAAAAAATAACACATATAAAAAATAAGAGCATAAAAAACCACAGCACAAGTTATAGTTTGTGATTTTTTCCTCTTCTAAAGAAGGATGTCTCTTTCCGTTAATAAACAATTCTAGAACTTTCTAAAAATTTTTGACTCAGATATATAAATAGCGGTAAAATATATGATAGGACAAATAACAACACATAATGTCACGACAAAATTCTAACTGTGTAAAAGAAATACTCGAGATTTATCGTTTGGTTTTTTTGCTGTAAAACAGGTAATGATTCTATTTCTTTATATTCCGACTAGAAGATTTTAATATATACAATTTTATTTGGAATCTGGAAATTCTTGTTCTACACTTTTCTTGATATGACAATTGACGGTGTAACATTACTGTATGAAGCATCTTCACATATAAAAGAACATGTTTATTTAATTACAACTCTCGACTGTTGAAGTTAATGTCAACTAGATGTAACTCTGCGTTTTAAGAATATTATTGAATTACTGAAGATGGCCAGATTGTGGCCGAAACGTTTAATGTTTTAATTAATGTAATAATAATTAAATATCACAAACTATAACTTGTGCTGTGGTTTTTTATGCTCTTATTTTTTATATGTGTTAATATTAGAACCACGTTAGTTTCAAGATATTTAAAAAAACAAAATATTACACGTGTATGAGAAAGGATCTCTTATTTCTGCTATTTAATTAAAGAGTTGTATAATCGGCAGACGAATGACTTCGAAGTTCGCGATTCCCTGCAATAATCTTTTTCTTGCGATTTACGGTCATTCAGAAAAATAACCTCTGTTCCCGGCCTTTGTTCTTCCTGTGTCTACGTTTGCTGTGTCGAGCGCACAAAATACATTACATTACGCGTGCGTTCACGTTGCCGCCACGTGAAAGAAGTGATTTTTTTCCTTCCTGATTACCATATATGCACGTTCATTTGAGTTAATCGCAGCCCGTGTATCGTACCGCGCTCTTTCTTCGACCGCCAGGTTCAAGGCGGTTTACTCGCGATTCCCTCGCCCCGATAAATCGTACCTCCGGGAGTCACGGAGCGTGTCTTCACGGATATTTAAATTTGTTGGAAGGAGCTCTTGCGCAGACTCTTACCTTCCTCTCTTACGTTCCTCTTTTCGATGGTACAGAGTCCCCAAGAAAGATTAAACTCGGCATTACGTAACGAAAACTTGATAAAAAATCGAATAATTAATATTAAAAGCTTCCTTCGAATTAAACAGAGACTGAAAAGCATAAGTAGAACAATAACGTCTTAATTATGAAACAATTACATCAGGCTTGATTTTCCTCACGTTGCTGCATGCATGGATATGCATTTGAAATCGATGCGACAGAGAGTCATTAGAAAGGAAAAAAGAGAAAAACATTAACAGATTTATTTTATAGATTCAAGTAGAATAGAGATTATTTTATGAATCTAATATAACAGATAAAACTAGAAGAGATTTACGTGGAAATAAGAGTGGTAGTTTTTAGCATACAACGTGAAACTGTGTCGTAAAAATGGCAATGACTTCCCAAGTTTTAAGTTTTTATTATAAAAAATAAACAAAAATCAGAACAAAAAGACATCTTAAAGTGTCTTTAATGTGGTGTCTACAATGAAATTTTAAGGCGTAAAACTTAATTCAGACTCTAAGCCATAGGAAATTAACTAATTACGATTGAATATGAGGAGAATACTTGACTATGATTGATCAATTTCTTAGTTCAAAGTTTTAACTTTTACGCTTTAAAATCTCATTGTAGATGCCGCTTAACGTGTTATTTGAGTCAAAGTTACCTCGACATTTTTCCAAAGTTATTCCATTTAATTTATAGCGGGTGAAATGTCCCTTGAAAAAAAAATTGATTCCGCGAATTTTTTTAATATCACATAAGTTGAACGTTACTAATTATGGCAATATAATAAAATAAATAAAAATATAATAAATAAAATAAATATAATAAAATTAATAAATATAAATATAATAAAATTAAATAAAATTAATAAAATAAATAAAATTTCATTCAAAAATTGAACAAAAAACCGCGGATACTTTTTAAAAATGACCTAATAAAATTGGCAATCGTCTAATCTACATGGATCCTTATTTCGGTTTATAGAAGCAACATCTCGCTATCCCGTCACAGTCTGTGTGGGAGCGTGGACGATGGTTTGCAGGGCTCGCATCCCCAGTACCAGGACACGATCCTCACGATCGAGGAGCTGCGTGCTCAGCTCAACTCCTGCTTTACGTAAGTTGATTCTCGCTCTTTATCATCGTACGAATCGGCCCGCGCAGATCCAGCGGACCGTGGGAGTTGATCGAGGGATTACGCAACGTTACAGAATGATATGTCGCCGTTCATACAATGGAATCCGGTACGATCCGGAGCCAGGGCGACTTCAATTCATCATTTCGCGAGGCGTCCAATTCTCCTTTACCAATTCGGGAGAGAAATGTCCCTCCCTGAATGAAGATTATTACGCTCGATTATTGTATGGCTCGCGCGAGAAGTCGACCAGAGACGAAATTTCTTTTGGCTGTTTGGTTGAAATTTTAACACAGATCATTAGAACAAGAACGTGATACAACGAATTATCGAACGCGCAGGGTTGGGATTGGGAGATAGTCATCGATACGGAATGCAAGAAACGAGGCTAGTAGGTATAGCCCAACGTTTATCTGGTGACGGTTGACGCAGTTATTCCGGTAAATCGATGCCCTACATTGAGCGTATGCAGCACGAAATGTGCAACGTGCGGCATTTTCGTGAAATATTCACATAGCCCACCGTAATTCGATTAATCAAAAAATATTCGACTTCTTAGAAAGATATTTGTTCGTCCAAGAAAAGAGTCTTATCCTCGAATCCAGCGAAGTCTTTGTTCAATAAAATCTTTAATACTCTATTGATTAATCTATAATGTTGTGCAATTCTCTTTCGTCGTAATTCTGTGTTATACAATAGAAATCGTAGCGGTCGTAGAGTCTTAAGTCTTAGAAAATTGACTAATCATAGTCGATTATTGTTCTCATGTTCGACTGTGATTGATTAATTTTCTACGACTTAAGACTGCTATGACTTTTATTGTAGATCTCTGCTTACCTATATCGTTCGTTTGCTATAATATCGAAATAATTAAAATAAGAAATAAAATTATTTAAATGTTTCGAATCATTAAAATTTTGGCATATTAATCTTATAAAACATAATTTTGATATAATAATTTGTAGAAGAATAAAAGTATGTTCTTTCTTTTTCTCATTACGTTTATCTCCTTTTTCTGTAATTAATTAAAAAATGATAATTTTTTCAATCATGTCTTTCCAGCAAATGAGCGATACATTTATTGATTATCTCAACTGTATAATTTCGCAATATATCAATATCATTTTATATTATCATTTTATCATTTTATTAATGAGCAAATCTTGCGTAAAAAAAACCGGATGATGCTGATCGAATTGTTAAACTGCATGACCTTGTTTCCTTGAAAGACCGTCTCAACGGTAGTTTAGCGATGCAAATCGTCGACTTCTCTCGCAAGCGAATCGCGTTGTTGGATTGCACGTCATACGCCTCCGTTATTAGCATAATTGGGTGTGTATACGTATCGAAACGATTCATTATCGTCGTCTTGTTTTTTACATAGATGCGGAGTGTCGTGGAGCGAGGAGCACGTCTCCCTAGACTGCAGCGAGTGCGGTGGCTACTCCCTGCAACGGCCATGCCCGCTTTGTGACGGTCGTTGCCATACCACGTGGAAGCGCGACCTCACCATGGTAAATATCCGCCCTGTGATCCTCCTTTCTGTGAGAAGAATCGATAAATTCATCCGACTTGACATTAACTTCCCTCTCATTAATGTCACTTATCTTCATTATCTATTTTCATTTTAATCTTTCGTCGTCCATTAGACATGAATATTTTTGTTGAGTAATCGACAGACAAGGATCCAAATATTGTAATATTAATTCGATTTAATGATTCATTTTTGATATATTTTAAAAATCACGAATTAAAATAAATTTTCTTAATTTTGATCAAAAAACTAAAAAGCAAATTCACAACTTTACTTATGGTTCTTGTTCTCTTTACAGTCCCATGCGAGTGGTAAAGCAAGATGGATCGGTGAGTGCGGGCTAAGCTGTGGACCCTCCTTGGAGGAATCACTGGTGCCCGCGTTGGAGAAGTTGCGGGCTACTTCGTGAACGGCGTCAGCCCGAGCACCATCAACCATGCACAAGACTTAAATCCATCACCATCCATCTAGTATCACCCACCACCATCGCGTGCGAGACTCAAGAAAGAAAGAAAGAGAGGAAGAGAGAGAAAGAGAAATGTGTGAATGTGGACCATGGATGATATGCATTATGTTCCTGAGAAGGACGGCTGATAAGGGAAAGAAGGGTCAGAGTTTCGGCCTTGTGGTTTTTTCCCCAAAAATATAAAGCCGTACCCAGCTGGTCCCTTAACATCAAGGACCACCATCATCGTCATTATCGTCTTTCAGGCGAAAGTACAAAAACTATGCGATCGACGTCCGAATTCTAAAGAATTTCTACGTTATATTGAACGATTAACTATGTTGCAGCGAACTAGTTAAAACATTGCTCTTTCGGGGAACAAATTCTAATTTATTTTCAGAAGATTTTTATGTCGATTTATTGTGTCATAAAATTTATTTCGATTATTTCCCCAGCGATTTCAGATCAGAATTAAGATTAGTTAACAAATTCTGTTAAGAAACAGAATTTGATCTTTTTTTTTTTGAACGATTTTTTGCCGCTGATATGGAATTATATCATCGCTACACGAAAATAATTTCTTTGCGAGATGGCTTTTTCGCAAAATTAAAAAATAGATAATTTGTGAAAAAGAAATCTTTCTGTTCAAGAATACGAGGAGGTATCCATGAAGCAGATTTGATTGTTCTTTGAAATATTTTTGAACCTAACCTTACATTCTTTTTTAAATTTAGAATATAGAAATGTATAATATCAAAAAAATGCAAGAAAAGCAGGAACGAATAGAATCGAAAGTATACTTTGATAATTTTTCTTTCTCATTCATTCTGAATGATTTTAAAACCTTTTGTCAGTTTGTGTACAAAATTGGAGATATAATATTTCACACGAAGAAAAAAATAAGAGAGTGTAATCTCAAAGTAACACGAATGAAGCTTTGCTTTTAGAATTGATTGGCACATATTTTTTGAAACAACTAATGTCTTAGAGACAATTAATTTTGGCAGTGATTGTAACTCCGAAATATTTTTATACAAATATTTGTTTTGGCCATCGTAACAATTGTTTGTCATTCGCACACTTATAACAAAATTGAATTTTTTTATTTTTTTGAATTTTACGACATATGTATCTCACTTTATTCACCCAGTCACTTTAGAATACGACGTAAAGCTATTTTCCAAATTAAAAGTCAAAAGAATTTTTTTTTATGAAAGTGTGCATTCTAAAGATTTTTCTATTGTATATGTAATAACATTATCACATTATTAATTACACATTCAGTTTTAAAGAAGTTTTTATTTATAGACTTAAAGCAATGAAAAAACGATTAATTCATTTGGAAAATTCGATTTCTTACTGCGGATTGCTTATTATAATACAAATATTTTCAAATTTTTGTATCGATTAAAATTGCGAAACTCGCACCACGTAAAAATATCATGACTTCGGACAAATTTTAATGACGATAGCTTAATCTTCGGTCGTTCCTATATTATAGCAATGAGAGAGAAGCCCGACCTTCACTTTACTTTTGTACGTAACGAAAGTTACATCTCGGCCTTTCTGTCGCGCGAAAGAGTGCGAGTTTGCATTACGCGAATCCTAGGATAATTATTAGGCAACAATTAATCGATCGAGCGATCTGACGGCGAGAAATCCGTCCGGGATTTTCGCACGAGAGCACGACGTATCGATGTTTTGTAAGTAAATAATTATTCGATATTCTTCGCTTTTAATTGTCACAGCTGTATCATCGGCGAAATAATTCCGAGCTTGCGATTGTATACGATAAAAATTTAGTCGAAGATTTGCCTCTTTAGCGAGGATTTTTAGTGTTAACATGATTCAATTGTCATAGTCCTAAGGATTAATAGACAGTCGGTGTGTTACCAATTCGAGAAAAATTATCAAATTAATTATTTCCACAAATAGCAATTAGAAAATTTGACATTCAAAACGTTATTGTACGTCGAAATTGGTACGGCGAGGAGAAAAAGGTACGAAAATACACAATTGTAAAGGAAAATTATACGAATCTCCTTGGGTCTATGAAAGTTTAAAAAGATTGATTGTATTTATAGCGTTTCTCGACAAAGATACATCTTGCTCGCTTTAAATCGTTCCTTTCTATGCCGAGCATTTTTGCCAAGTGATTGGTAGAGTAGCTCGATCAAAGTGCATGAGAATGTCTCATGTGATTCAACAATTGCATACTCGACACAAAGAAAATTGCGAGTGCCCAATGAGATTTTATTGTCGAAGAATCAAAATCGAATTTATACAATTTCATCATGTAATATTGAGGATAAATATTATTCGCATATGCGATACTTTAAATATCTTATAACAGCAAAGTGTAGATTCATTTAAATATATTCATAACTTATATATTAAATGATGCTTTTATATTCGTTGTTATTATGGGGCTTGCAGAATTTTCTGTGTCAAGTCAATTTGGAAAGCATTTACGTCGTGCCAATGACTTTTTCGGATTTTTATTATTGTTTTATAAGGATCCTGCGTGCCGAAGCCTTTCTTAGCGAGATGTATGAACAAAAGAATATGTTTTCGGACATTTACTGACTTTTCCCTCGGTGATTTATATATATTACATATATATAATATATATAGAGTATACATGCTCATCTCAAAATACATCCTCATTTATTAAATTAAACTGTAATGTGTAAAAATTGTCTGGAGTATTAGCTCGCGATGAGCTTTAGTTTAATGCTTTAGAGAAAATCCTCGGTAGTTTTTATTTAATCTACAAACTCTTCTTATTTATGACGCGCGAATACTGCAAAAGTATGGGTTTAATAAATACTTAAAAAAATCCACTATGACTTGTTAATACGATTATTTCCTTCTTGTTCCAACTTCTATCGAATCAAGATCATTTTCCAAGAGGAAAATGTGAATTGATATGTATCTTATATATATTTGACGTCTTTTCTCTTTATTTTATATTTCGATTTTCTGCATTAGAGAAAATATAATACTGCTCTTGGATTTCTCTCGTGTTAGAATTAATCTATTTAATTCAAAACAGTCTCACGAGATTATTTTGTAATCCAGCGTCATATCTCTACTCATCAGATACTACATTAACATTTATGAAGAGTAAATAATCTACTGACTAGTAAATGATTTAATTTTATTGAGTAAAAGGTGTATCAATGCTTTATTGATATTTTTTTACGATTTATGTACATTTTCATCATGCCAGGCAACACGCTTACACGATCTTTTTACAAATCGAGACTATAATAGTATTTTGTATCTCTGTGCTGTGTTTTAATATTTTAAGTACTCAACTCACATTTTATTAAAAGTACATAATATCAGTACGATGTTGGAAGGCAACATAGGAGTTTAATCGATAAAATTGAAATATCATGATTTTTGAACTCATAATCTAATTCCTTATCATCCTTTTTTATGTTTATTTAATATTTGTTATCAAACTTAAAAAAAAATTACGATAATCCTATCTCTTTCAATTTTGAAAACAAATTTTTGTTGACAAAATAAGTTAGCAAATAATATATAATAAATGGTTTTTATAGCTCTACAACTACAGATATATCGCCGTCGAAAAGTTTTCCGACATGGAACTTAAAATTGCATAATATTCAGATTAGCATAACTTTGGTAAAAAATCAGACAAAAAATAAAAAAGCGATCAAAAGCATGCTAAAGTATAAGTTTCAAGTTTTGAAATGCTTTTTTATTTTTTTTGTTTGCGATGATTTTTTATCAAATTACGGTTTAAATATTATGCAATTTTGTTTCATGTCTGGAAATTTTTCGTCGGCAGTGTATCTGTGATTGTAAAGCTATAAAAACTATTTATTGTTATATATTATTTATTAACTTATTTTGTCTACAAAAATTTGTTTTTGAAATAATTTAAAGAGATAAGATTATCGTAATTTTTTTTCAAGTTTGGTAACCTGAATATTATGCAATTTTAAGTTATATGTCTGGAAACTTTTCGACAGCAGTGTATGTATTCTATAAAAATAATATTAATATCTTCTATGTTGTCTTGTAAGATATTTAAGTATACAAGCCGCAATAAAAAATATGAGAAAAGACATACTTTTAAATATTATATGCTCATAATCGTACTCGCAAATGACACCTATAGACCAATTCCAATTATTCGATCACTTTTCAAGCAAAAATATACGGAGCAATAACATAAATTATCACTATTATTAAGTATCATAAATATTAACTCATTTTTATTCTCTGTCAATTGATTTTCTGCAAGAGCATATATTATAAATGAATCGAAAAAAAAAGATTTAAAAATAAATATTTGAAATAATTCTTGTATATATCTAAAATCGCAAAAATATTTGTATAAATAGCTGTAATAAACATCAAATCAATCGAGAAAAACAATCGAAGTTTAACGGTGCTGTATTTAAAGTACCATCGCGTGTAGCAATAACTTGAGATGTTAATGTTTCATTTAGAGATAAAAATTATAAAGATTTAACTATATGATTTTCTACAAATCACTTACAAAGTGCATAGATGGTGATAATTAATTAACAATTAATTATTCTAAGTTTTTTTGAAATATTTAATTAAGAAATTTATTAAGATTTATTCCTGCCAACGGAATTCTTAATAAGCCTTTATTAAAAACTTTATATGAATGTTTAAGTTTATTTATCATACTTAATATACCGTTAGCATCAAAATTTTACTCTATATAAATTTGTAATCTAAATAAAATAACATTATCTCTCAATTAAATTCCTTGATGTTTTGTTACCACTGCACGCGAGAATACGTTATACTATGGCTTGAGCGCATTAAGAACGCGTCATAACCGGAGATACGTTGTACTATATTACAGGAAAAAAAACGCACATTTTCTGAAAAGGTTCTATATACGAACCTTCTTCCTTTATCGCGAATTGTTCTAGTTTTGACTATTACTTATTGAACTGAGTAGCGATTCCGCTGAGCGAGATCGTACGTACTCCCTCATATAAACGAGAGGACAATAATCTCAGCACCGGCATCCTACGAGGACCATTAATCCTACTCGCGCGACTTGCGGCACAAGCGAGTGACAAGAATCAACTTTGGTGCATAATGAAGTTCGTATGTGTATGTATGAAATAAATTAATTAATAGATTTCCTGCGCAACAATAGTTCTAGCGTAAAGATCATCGTTGCGACTATTTCTTTACGCTCGATCTAAATAATGCTAGGCAATAATAATCTAAATAATATTAGGCAATGATCGAGAACAAAAAATTACACTGAGAACGAAATTCGGTGGCGATTGATGAGAGTCCTAAGGCGATGGATTTTAGTATTGTCTGTAGAATTAGCCTAGTAGGAACGAATCGCTGGCGGAACCGTCGCACATTCCTGTTGACTGAGCGTAACATCAATCACCGGTCTATAGTCGAGAGACACCTTAAATTAATGAAATAGGATTAGAAGTTGTGAAACAGAAGTTATCAATTGGAAGTATTAAAATGGAGAACGATAATAAAAATCTAATTAATTAATATAAATATTGAGTAAAAGGTACAAAGTTAAAAATTTTAAAAACGAGAAACACATTATTTGTGGACAGTATCTCATCTCTATCTATAAATAATAAATGAAAAATATACCTCTCCAGTTTTCGGATTAATCTTTGACAGCGTGTGCTTCCTCCAATGTTGATTGAAAGGTTTTGGTTGTTGGTTTTCGATCGGTTTACTATAATCATATTCATCGATTCTCTGTTTATAATCCTCGCGAGCGTGCGCACCGCGACTCTCCTTTCTGTTGTCCGCCCCAATGATAGTCTGCATTGCATTGATCATGAGATTTTGCAGCTCAAGCGTTTCTATTAAATCGGAATTCCATATTAAAGATTTATCCGCGACTTTTAACTCATTCAGTTTTTTGTAGAGATCGGACATTTTCCGACAACCTGTGAAATAAATGTATAATAATATTCCAAATGCTATGTTATATAATATTTGTAAATTCGACGCGCAATTGTATGCGAGTGAAACATCAATAGTCATTTTTACCTTCCTGCAAAGTTTCGGCGTCTCTGAAAACTGCCGCGTGCGTTTGCATAGTCTTTTGCATGGTTAGCCTTAATTCCGCGGTGGAGATGGAACCGTTGGCATTTCTGACCCAGTCTAAATTAGCTACCGTCTCTTCGCCAGCGTTCTAAAACATATAAGCAAGATGTAATACATTCATCTTATAATAAAAATATAGTTTATATGTATATATAATGCTCATAGAGAGCTTATCTAAAGTGGTAAAAACTTACAGATCTCAGGGGTCCGATCGCTTCGCCAGGCTTGTTCTCTTGAGCGATAGTTTTAGCACAAGCACGTCCAAATACAACTAAATCCAATAGAGAATTAGCACCCAGTCGATTAGCACCGTGAACGGACGCGCAAGCTGCTTCGCCACATGCATATAAGCCAGGTACTATTTTGTCTTGATTGTTCTCTCTGATCAATACTTGACCTTTGTAATTTGTCGGCACTCCTCCTGCAATTATCAATATAATTTACTAGACCAATCTTTTCCACAGAAAAATTATTGCAAGTAAAACAAAATAGTTTGTACATAATGAATAATTGAATCTCATTAAAGAAATACTCTTTGTCGCATTTGATAAACTATTTTATCAAAATATTTTCTTGCTAAAAAGAAACTTAATTGTGACAACTCCAATCATCATGTGAAGAATGTGAGGACTTTCAATTAAAATCATCGTACATAATTTTAATTACGGAAAAACTCGTTGCATAACAATAGCTCTTTTAATGAAGTTTCATTGCGAAGGGAAAATTAAATTAATTTTTTTATACAATGAATGTTATGCAGATGTAATATGCATACACACAAATATTTCTCACTTCTCAGTAATATTTTAATACAGAGTATTAATTGTAAACCACGATTAAGTATTTTCTTTGTTCTGAAGGTTGCATCTTAAGTATTAACAGTCTCAATACTTCAATTATTTATATTCATACCCATATTGTAATGGACGGTGGGGATGACGGGGATGGGTTCCCGAGTTACATCGACGCCAGCGAATATCATTGCCGTCTCCGAAATACCTGGTAGCCGTGCGGCCAGTTGTTCAGGTGGCAGATGGTGTAGCTGTAAGTAAATGTGATCCTTCTCTGGTCCGACGCCTCTAAGCAGAGATAAAGAACTATATTTACCACGAATATCCAAAGATACAACAAAAAACGCATCTTTGTTGGCCAGTGACTTACCTGCCTTCTCTAATCTCCATTGTCATAGATCTAGACACCACGTCTCGCGAAGCCAGATCCTTCGCTACCGGTGCATAACGCTCCATGAACCTCTCGCCCTCACTATTTATCAAATAACCGCCTTCGCCACGACTTCCTTCTGTAATCAAACATCCGGCGCCATAGATACCTGAAATGAGTGCGACGTGTTTTGGTTAATATAAATTAAAGAACTACGTAATTAATTCTTCTTATCATACATAAAATGTTAAAAAATAATTATATATACTTGAATATATACCAAAAATTTTTTTGTACTTATATGTTGAAGCAATAATTATTCTGTGTATTAAATGTACACTACCATAATTATTCGGACAGCTATTTTATACATATTTTACTTTGATTTTAAAAACTAAATAAGTGTTCCATTATTATTATTAATAGATAATTCTAAAAAAATTATTTGTATTATCAACAGTATGAGAGAGAGAGAGAGAGAGAGAGAGAGAGAGAGAAAGGGAGAGGAAGAGGGGAAAGAGAAAGGGAGAGAGAGATACTTACTTGGCTTTTAAAATTGCAGTGAAGTATAAAATATCCGTACGAATAATTGAGTAATAATACGAATAATTGTATATATTAAGATATGTACCTGTAGGATGAAATTGCACAAATTCTAGGTCCTGATTGGGTAGATTAGCCCTGGAGACCATAGCGGTACCATCTCCAGTGCAGGTATGTGCAGATGTGCAGGAAAAGTAGGCGCGCCCGTAGCCACCGGTAGCGAGCACCGTATTCTTGGCGTGGAAACGATGCAACGTCCCGTCTTCCAAGCAGAGCGCGATCACACCGCGACATTCGCCGTCTTCCATCAGTAAATCGAGGGCAAAATACTCGACGAAGTAATTACAATCGTAGCTTAGCGACTGTCCATAAAGTGTGTGTAGCAATGAATGGCCGGTTCTGTCAGCTACACAACAGCATCTATGAGCCTGACCACCCTTGCCGAACTTAAGGGATTGACCACCAAAAGCGCGTTGATAGATCTTGCCTGATAGAAAAGATAAAGGTTTTTCAATTAATTTTTATAAATATTATTATAATACATTATTTATTAATTTTTATTAATATTGTAATGACACTGTAGGTTTTTCAAAACTTAAATCCTTAGAGATTTAAAAATATGAAGTTTATATTAAATAAATGTCGTAAATGATATGATGAAATAAATAATAGATAAAGATGACTTCAAGATTAGACTTGTTTTATAAATTAAATGTTAATATACATATATGATAAATAGAATTTTAAAGATATTCTAGATATTTATTATAATTCATAACTCTATTTCATGTTTAAATTATCGAAGATATAATTAAATTATTTCAGGTTTAAAGTATCGAAGATTATCAAGGTAAAACAGAGTTTGAAAATTTATATAAAAAAAGATAATTGCAACATTTAAAAATCTAGTCTGACGATAAACGGCAATTTCAACTGCATAGCAACCTAGCATTCCTAGCAATGACATTTGTTATTTTCACGGTGAAAAAATTCGCGTTTTATTTTCTCGATTGCAGGGACAAATTTTTGCTTTTGAATTACTTTTTCGATAAATAAGAATGGTGCGTAAATATTAATAAAACAAATATATCTTTTTGGGATTATTAAATCATGGAAGACGACAATAGAAGAGAAGAAATTAAGGAAGTAACGGGAGGCATGGAAGAGGATGGAACTGCATTGCAACAAGAAAGAGGTTCTGATAATCAGTACCAACAGCTATCAAGACCCTCCTCCAGTCGCAAACGCATACGAGACGAGTGAGTTATGTAAACATAACTAATCCGTAATTAAGATGTAATAAGACAGCTATATGAAACAGAATAACTTCAGAGTTCAGATTGCTACTTTACATATATATTAGTATCTGTCTGATTATTTTACTACTAGATCTATCCGTATTCATAGTCGATGATCCATCCATGATTGATCCTTATTTTAGGCAAACTAGATTTGAACTAAAAATTGAATCAATCAGATTTATTAAAAATTAAGATTAAATCGTAGTTTGAGAAGCATTTTTCAAATGAAAGGCTAATTCAAATCTATCTCAATCTAGCTCAAATCGGATCTCAAGTTGAATCACGACTACAAATATAATCCTTAGGCCCGTATTCATAGATAGTCATAGATCAATCCACGATTGATCTTCATTTCAGACGAGCTAGGTTTGAACCAAAGTTTGAATCAATCAGATTTATTAAATCGCGATTTGAGAAGCATTTTTCAAGTGAGAGACTGATTCAAACTTAGCTCAAATCGGATCTCAAGTTGAATCATGACTATGAATACGTCATAATTAATGCTCCTGTTTCAATACAGTGTATATTATAAAAAACATCAAGTTCGATCAAACTTTTGAAAATATTTATCGTTTTCTCTTATCATTATTTCCCATTTTTAATAATTGTATGAAATATACATTTGGACAGAACAGATTCCAATCAACATGACAGAAAGGCATCCCGTACGAGATCAAGATCAAGATCAAATAAGCCTCTGCAAAGAAGGCAATGGAGAAGCGCGAATGCCTTTTTAAATTTTATGCAAGACTTTAGGCAGGTAACGAAATGCAAAAATGACGAGGATAATGCAAACGTTATGTAAGCATAACAATCAAATTACAGAATTATAATAAGATGAAGAGTAGAGATCTGTTTCGCCTTGGGGGACAAACATGGCGGCAAATGTCGCCCACGGAGAAGATGCCCTACGTAGAAGCGGCCAAGTTGGCGCAGCAACAATCGCAACAAAACGCTAAGAGTACACAGAAAAATAAGCTTATTAGTAGTGATTCTACAAAGAAACCTGAAAATCAAAGAGACCAGAAAAAGATTGAACGAAAGGTTTGTTAAATAAGCTTCCACTGACTTCTTATATTTTTAGCAAAATTAAAGTGCTATATAATTTTTGTATTTTCTTAAATTTTGTCATTAAATTATTATATATTCAGTTAATCATTAATTCATAAAAAGTTCAATACATACATTTAATGTTTATGTTATTTAAAAAATGCAAAATTAAAGCATAGTAGTTTTACTACTTTTATAACTTTTTACAATCTGTAAGTCTTAGATAACATGTAGATATTTATGTTTCAGGGAAGAAAAGAAAGCAGACGTAGAAGCAAGAGAGACGACTCCGAAGTAGAATCAGATTCTGCAACGTCAGGAACAGGCGCGAGTATGACGAGTGAGGACGTTTCCGATCTGAGTTCTTAAATGTCAATTTATTAATTGATATCAAAAATGTTAAAAAAAAATATGTGTATGAAACATTTTATTTCTATTATGTGTCTCAATATTAATCCTTGGTCGTATCGTTATAAATTTGAATAAAGTTCAAGACCTTATAAAAAACATTTTATTTTCACGTTTATTCCTTTATAGAGTTCCTTCTTTCTATACTTTCTTGGAAGTTCCTCTACTTTTTAATTCATTTATTTGTGATCTTTAAACTCGGATTTTAATCGAGCTTCTATATTGTAGATTCTGTCATGGTTTTATATTGTAAGTTTTTAAAATTTTTTTTTCTCTGTTTGACGTAGATATAATATATATATTATATAATATTATAAAATGTATATATAAATAATATATTTTATATATATATATATATATATATATACACAATATATATAATATAAAATAACTGATCTATTCAGTGAGTTTTATAATATACATGAGCCACAGAGTGGGGATGTCCCAATTTCTAGACAATGACACTCTGATGTAAAGATTGTACTGTTTTCTTTGTTAGGAATTCACTGATTGGCTAATGTTGTTTTATTACTACAAATAGGAAAGAGTCAGAAAGACAAATATTTGTTTGCCTTCCTTTTCTCCGTTACGGGCCATAATTTTCTACAGTTTAATACAGGGAACGCGTGTCTACTGTGTCTACGCGAGTATACTGTAGAGCTCACTGGGCCTATTTGATGATGAAAAAAGATAAAGAGAGAGAGAGAGAGAGAAAGAGATTCTCATTCACCGTCGGTAGTGCGACTGAAGGGCATGCCACAATTCTCCAGCTCGATGACGGCCTTCGGTGCTTCACGAGTCATGTAGTGAATAGCATCCTGATCGCCTAGCCAGTCCGAGCCCTTGACGGTGTCGTACATATGCCACTGCCAGTTATCGTCCTCCATGTTGCCCAGGGCGGCATTGATGCCGCCCTGGGCGGCGACTGTGTGCGATCTCGTCGGGAATAGCTTAGTGACCACTGCAGTTTTGAATCCCTCGGCGACGAGGCCGTAAGCCGCGCGTAGACCAGCACCGCCGGCTCCCACCACCACCGCGTCATACGTGTGATTCACCAACGGGTACTGCTTGGAGATTTCGTTGGAAATCTTGGCCGTTCGGTCCGGCGTGTGATGAAGCCTACGGTTGCCGAGAAGCGGCAGTCCCAGCTTATTCTGTGAAATGGAAACGAAGTAGAGATACCAAGAGCAAGAAAATTGCAACGCAACATTCTATGATTAAGAGTTTACGTTTATTATAATAATTGATTCACTCATCATATAAGTGTTTAATTGACGTAACTGTTTGGTTATATAATTTCCATATCTCGTAAATTTTTTATATAAAATTCAAGGATATATATGATAAAAAATATATTCGAAATCAGGCGACATGTCAAAAAAATAATGCGCAAATATCTAGTTTATAACTCCCTTTATAAGCTCTTAACAAAGAGGAAGCTTCAATTACTTCCTTTCGGATTCAAGAGTTATTGTTAGGTAAGACATCACGTAAATTGTTATTTATAATGAGTCACGAATATGCGATTACGTATACGTATGTACGTACATACGCGTGTATCATACACATATGTATTTACTTATGCTCTATTTAGGAGATCACACGGCATTGTTGTAAGTAAAGCGTACATATCCCCATATTATAATTGTTTTTATATTATTGCACATAATTAAAAATATAACCATATAAAATATGAATATAAACAATTATATTATACAGAATATAATGTACAGTTAAATAATTTTATGTTATTTACAAATAAAATTTTACATGTTCACGAGCAAATGTTACGAGAATAATGAAATGCTTATGATTAAAATTTACAAATGTTTTTTAAGATATAGAAAATGGAAACATGATGCAAGTAGTATAAAAAAATATTATACAAGTTTTAATTAAATGCTTATGATACAAAAACTTGCTTCAGAACGCTTCACGGAAAACTCATATAAATTGCATATATATCTTTTATATCTTTATGAAGATGTAACGAGCATGGCTTCTACGAACAACTGCGTTGAAGTTAAACTACCTGAAGATCAATTAGCGAGTTAATTAGATCCGCTAAGAGAAAAATAGAGACAGTCTTTTCGTTGCCATATATCTTGTTGCAAAATAATTAAAAGTGATAAACACTAGGTATCGCTCGGGATATTTGCAGAAAATTATAATTTTCCATGGCTTATCGTCAACTTACAATTGCATGTGCACAAAGATAAGGCAAAAAAAAACACATTTCTGTTTTATCTTAAGATCGCACAATAATATCGGTATTTCGTTATTTTTTTAGAAAAGTTAATAAGCTACTTGATATTACTTTGCTACGTTAAGGGGGGGAAGAGGGGGAGGGTTTTGGAAATGTTGAAAGAAGATTAGATTAATTTATTTTATCTTAATTTCGTTCTCCTAGTTTAAAAAAAAAAAAGATTGCTTCGCGATTCAAATATTTATCTAAAAATTCGATAGTAAATCCACATTGATACAATTAATCGTGAAAGGTTACGAGATATCGTGGAGGTATGTCGGTTAAAAAAAGTAACAATATTTTAAGATGATAATAATTATCTTTTTAATAAAAACGCTCTGGACGCTCCACATAATTCGCACTGGGGATAAAAATCTTGATACAAATTAAGTTCGACGCTATTTTGTGACGATCATAAATATTTCGTGCACGATAAACTTTGCACGCACATGTTTTCGAAAGCATACCGTGAAAACCCGATAAACGAAGACGTAAAATAAAGCTCATTATCAATTCAGGCGCGACGCCACATTTCACACAGGTGTGCGTCTCACGCTTATCTCGCTGCCTAGCGATTTTTTCGTATCGCGTTACGCCTGTATATGTGAAAAGATTCTCAGATATCTAATTCTCTGAATGAATTAACGAAAACAATTAATATCGCGAATCTATCGTCGCCTCGTTCTTTCAAATATCTTGCGGATATCGATACCTCGTTCACACCGTTCAAATTAATCGACGTCTACGCCGAAATGTTGCAAAAGTGTATCTCGATTCGGATTCGGAATCGAGCCATCGAGTAAGACACCGTTAGACGGTTAGACGCGACTCGCGAGCAGCCCCCGTCGGTCGACGCGGCCAAACATATGGAAATAGAACGAATGTGTTCTATCTTGTGGCGGGATTTCTCAGGGAACGAGCGAGAAAAGAATTGGGAAGATGTTCCCTCGAACGGTGGGAAGCCGAAGGGGATGTTGTTTACCACGAATGGACGACGCGGGTGGCAATACGCGCGTTTCCGGGCGCGTGTATTTATTCGTACCGTATGATTCGTCGGTTGCGCGCACCTTACGTAATTGATCCACTGCGTCGATGTATCTCATCGTCGGCGAATAAAAAATTACATAATGTACCGAAACGTAGGCGTGAATCCGCGAAACCCTGACCTGCCGCCACAAAGGTAATCCGCCGATTGCCGCCGAATAACGGACAACGGGACATTCGATATTTTTTTTCTTCCTTTAAGATGGCGCGAGGTCGCTGGTAACGCGAGATTTTCTAGGCCAGGTGTGTCCGAGATCGACCTCTAAGTCCGTCGAGAGTAAGAGTTCCGGTTTTTTCGCGAAAGAACGACCCTTGATGCCGACGATTGTACTACCATTTTCTCAGCGAGAGAAACGCAGCCGTGATCGCGTTCTACCTTCATGGGGTGAGAAATTGAGAATCCACGTGAAGCGTGAGACGGGGACGTTAAGCCGCGACAGCTTCTATTGTTCGAATTGCGAACGCGTGCTCCGGTTCTCACCAGTGTCGCCGATCCGGACAGACTTCTCGGCAGCAACGACGCCGACAGCTTCAGTAATCCGCTCATCTTACGTCACCCTGTACCTGTGCTTGACTTCCCGTCGACCCGTCGAGATACGCCCCCGTGACAGACCCGCGCGCACGCAACACGCGACTAACCCTCACGATATTATCGGTGCTTCGATCCGCTCAGTTCGGCGGCTCGACACCGACTGAGACGCCGAGTGTCGCCGGAATGTTGCGCGCGCACAGTGCTGCCAACGTGCTCCAACGTGCTAGCTGAGACCTGAGACGTCATCCCGTATCCAAATGTTTCGCATAATCCCGCATGGTCCCGCATATGATATGATAATAAGAATATATAAGTACTGAAAAAAATTTCAAAATTGAATTTCTTAAAATCCTAATCCGAATATCAATGAATCTCACATTTTCAATCATCTTATCGTTTCTAAAGGTGACCCTATACTGGTCAACAATACTGTCAGTAGATACTAATAAATACTAACAATATTTCTAATCGTGTTATGGTTAATATTGATGGATTGACGTACTGACGGTGTGGATTTTGATTCTCGAGCATCAGTATCGCTTTATTAGGATTCATATATGTATATCACAATATGTCACAGTGCAGTAGATAATAGGTCTGTTCTTTTTAGCTAAAGTTCTTGCAC